TCTCTGGCATCACATATGGTCCTCTGAACACTTCCAGGAGTGACCTCAGAGCTCTGAACCAGAGTAAGCTCTGAGCATAGTTGGGTGTGGTACCCCCCCAAAAATGTGATTATTACTCAAATGCTTGTATGAATGATTATATTGATATCAGATAAAGTAGTCACCAGCAAGTTACCAGATACAAGGATATTACACAGTGATGGAAAAGTCAACCAATTAAGAAAGTACAGCAGATCCTAAATGTGTGGACACCACCAGCAAAACAACAAATGGGAACAAAAAACCTGATGAAACTGAAAGAACAGATAAATCCATGATTATAGTTGGGAGACTTTAACATAGCTCTCTCACAAGTTTGCAGAAAAATGACAGAAAATCAACAGAAGTAAAGCTTCAGTATCATCCACTTGAGAATCTAATCACCATTTATAGAAAATTTCACTTGACTTATGAGAATATACATTCTTTTCAAATACCTATGAAATGTATGCCAAAAAATAAGAATGAAAAACGAAAATGAATTAAAAAAGAAAGCATGAAGAATCCAAAGGAAAAGATAAAGTTGCCTGTTTCTGGATGACATGAGATTACACAGAAAACCGCAAGAATCTAAAACAAAGCGAAAATGAACAATTAGAGTTTGTAAGGAAGTTCAGGAAGTTTCATAATACTAGAGAAAAATAATAAACACGGAACGATCAATCAAGAAACATGCAGCACTTGGGTGCTAAAAGCTACAAACTGCTAAAAAATGTAAATCAAAGCTCCAAATAATGGAGAGACAAACTATTGATGTAAAAATTCTATACAGAAAAGATGTCACTCTATCCAAACTGGCAGTTTTGATGGAATTTTTGTTTGGGGTCACAGATGATGGGTGCTCAGGAGCTACCTCTGGCTTGGTGCCTGGGAGTTACTCTTCGTGGTATTCAAAGAACCATGCCAGAATGAAGGTCATACCCGGGCCTTCCACATGACAAACAGTGCTAAGTCCTTTGGGCCATCTCCCAGGCCCTTTCATGCAATTAAAATAATTTAAATTTCATTTTAGGCATCACGATTTACAAAACTATTATTAGCAAAGTTTCATACATGAAACATTCCAACAACACATCCTCTATCAAAGTGTCCACTTCCCTCCACCATTCTCTAGTGTCCCTGCCCCATGCTTTAAGCTTCCTAGTGAAGACCAGTAATTGGTTTCTATTGCCTTTGGTATTAGTGCCTACCCTATGACTGTTTATGTTTCACATAGGAGAGAGATCATTTTGTATCTGTTCCTTTCTTTCTAACCAACACCAGTAGGCATGATACTCTCCAGATTCATCCACGCAGCAGCAAATTGCATGATTTCATTTTCTCTCACCACTGAGTAGTATTTCACTGTGTATAACATATATTCCATGTGTTTATGTACCAGTTTCTTTATCCAGACATCTGTCTTGGACATTTGAATTGTTTCCAGATCTTGGGTTATCGTGAATAGTGCTAATGAACGTAGAAGGTAGAATTCCAATGTCTTTTCTGAATAGAGTTTTTGGGCCCTTGGAATAGATGCTTTAGCTTTAGGTGGCTTTAGGCCCTCCCGTTGATCATCGATTTGCTCGAGCGGGCCCAGTAACGTCTCCATTGGAGACTTTGTTGTTACTGTGTTTGGCATATTGAATACGTCACGGGGAGCTTGCCAGGTTCTTCCGTGCGGGCTAGATAGATGCTAAGAAGTGGAATTGCTGGGTCATGTGGAAGCTCAATTCCTAGCTTTTTGAGAAGTGTTTAGATTTGATTCAAATTTTAACAACAATTCACTTATTTTATAAATTCAGACAAGATCATTCTAAAAGATTCATCTGAAAATAAAAATATTAGAAATCTAAAATAATTCTGAAAAAAGAAATAAAAACAGAGGAATTCATCTTTTGGATTTCAAGACTTATTATAGAGCCCTAGTAACCAAGAGTGAGTGGTACTGGTGGAAGAAGAGACACGGATCAATAAAAAGAATAGAAAACTCAGAAATAATTTCACATTATTGCTCAACTGATCTTCCACAAAGGTGCAAAAAGATAATTTAGTGGAAGAAAGATTGTCTTTCTGATAAATGGTGGTGCTGGAACAACTGGACAGACATAGATCAGATTCTCTCCCACCAGATTCCAATTTAATCCTCACACACTTTGAAATAATTAAATGTAGGGCTGGAGCAATAGCACAGTGCATAGGGCACTTGCCTTGCACGCAGTCGACCTGGGTTCGATTCCCAGCATCTCATATGGTCCCCTGAGCACCGCTAGGGGTAATACCTGAGTGCAGAGCCAGGAGTAACCCCCGTGCATCACCAGGTGTGGCCCAAAAACCAAAAAAAAAATTAAATGTAAAACTAGAAAACACAAGAGGGTATATGGAGCAAGCCAAGGAATTCTTAGCTGTTGCTATCAAAGAAAAAAAAATCTGTTCATTGTGCTTTAATAAAATTAAAACCTTTGTTTCAGAGGCTAATAAAAATATCTGGAAGCTCCATGTCCCACAAAGGTTTATTATCTAAAATATACAAAGGGCTATCTAAACTCAATATTATAACAATAATCCAATTAGAAAATGGGCAAAAGATATGAACAGACGACCCTTTCAGTGAAGAGGACTTAGGGACAGCAAATGCATACATGAGCCATTGTTTAGCACAACTATCCATTAGGGAGGTGCTCCACTGAGACCATGAGGAGCACCAACTACATACCTATTAGCACTGATAGACTGAATGTCACAGACTGAGACAGTATAGCATGTGGAAAAACACATGTGGTGAAATCTCTCTGATGATGCCCACGGGAATGCAGGAGGGCAAGGCCACTCTGGAAGAAAACTTGGAAGCTTCTTTAAAAAATAAACATATGTTCCACAACTAATCTCAAAAAGAAGCCAAGATGATAAATTGTCCCAGATAGATGGATCTTCAACTGAAAAAACTCTGAGATCTTCTCAGAGTGGGGATGGGCAAATCTCTCTCTTCCACAGAGGCCCAACAGCCACCACATCTGGCCTCCTCTGACACAGACAAGACCCACAGCTCCTGGAGCATGTGGCCTCATATGTAGCCATGTGACACCTCATCCATTTACAGTAGGGGAAGGAGAAGCCAACTGACAGCCCAGTGGGAGCACAGCAAATTTGATGGGGAAGTTGCAGTAGGATCCCACCAAACTCAGGGAGTGATAACATTAACACAAAAGGCTCAACCAGTACCAACTTGTCAGTTAATCCTCCATGATTTTAGTAATACCACTGTGAGATAGAACAATGATCACAAATTGACTTTTACTGATCATTTTCTGATAATTTCATTTGCCATTTTGTTGTAATAAGCAATCTGAAGTAAATTTGTTTGTGCTTAATAAAGGGGCAAGCTTGGAGGGTAGATGGGACACTGGGGACATTGGTGAGGGGAAGGCCACATTGGTGTTGGGACTGGTGTTGAAATATTGAATGCCTGAACTCCTGAAACAACTTTATTATGAACAGATTTGTAAATCATGGTGTTTAAATTAAAAAAAAAAAAAGAACAACATATACTTATTTGATGACTCAGCAATTGTACTCCTGGGCATTTGTCCCAGAAAAAATGAAAACTTATGCTCATAAGCAAACCTGCAGACAGTTGCTCACAAAAACTTTACTTATAGGAATTCCAAACTGCTGGCAACAACCAAATGACCCCCCATATGCGAATGATGAAACACATCTTGGGCCATGACTACCACGGAATACAACTCAACAATAAAAGGAATAAACAATTGTTACAATAACTTGCATATATATATATATATATATATATATATATCAGAAAAGGAACGAGAAAAAAGGAACCAGAAAAATATGGTACCATTCCCTTTATATAGCTTTCTCAAAATGCCAAGAGTTTAGAGGTGAATGGGAGACTAAGGTCAAGGGTTAGCGTTCGTGAGGGAATGTTCATCATTATAGAGGGCTAACATAAAGATTGCTGTGATGAGAAGTACTTCTGCATTCTGACTGTGGTAACAGTTATACAATCTATACAGCTGATATTACAGAATTGGTTTTGAAAATGGACTACAGTGACATGTTTTCATCCAGGGAACTGAATAACGGCAGATAGGACCCCTCTGTAGTCTCTCTGCAATTTCCTGGGAATCTATCTTTATTCTGAAATGAAAGGGGTTTTTAAAAGGTCACTAAAAGTTCTAATATCAGCTATCTAAAACCCTGAAGGGACATTATTGATTCTTCCATGTTCCCATCATGGCACCGAAACAATGCCTTAGCTCTCGTAGTAGGTATTTAATATTTAGGAACTAGATGAACATGTGACAGGATTTGGGGTTTTTGATTCTAAAAGTCCCAGGATTATTAATGGCAAATACCTGGAAACAAACACTGCATGGTGATCAGTAGTTATTTCCAATGATGGGACAGAGATGGGGATGGAAAAGGTTGGGAGGAGAGGAGGAAAAGCAAAAATATATACAATGCAGAAGTGCAGAGTAAAAATCACTGTCACTGTCCTCCCATTGTTCATCGATTTGCTCGAGCGGGCCCAGTAATGTCTCCATTGGAGACTTTGTTGTTTTTGTGTTTGGCATATTGAATACATCACGGGTAGCTTGCCAGGCTCTGCCGTGCGGGCGAGATACGCCCGGCAGCTTGCCGGGCTCTCCGAGAGCAGCGGAGGAATCGAACTCGTGTTGGCCATGTTGGCTGCGTGCAAGGCAAATGCCCTACCGCTGTGTTATTGCTCTAGCAGAGTAAAAAAGCTATTTTCTTTCACACATTGATAACTGTGCATCCCCAAAGAGTCTCATTTTTCCATAAGCATGATTTTAAAACACTGTATTATGTGTTTATCCTTAAGAAAGCAAGTAGATAGACAATGAAGGGAATGCTACTTCCCGTGTGTTTATTCCACTGCCCTGAAAGAACTTTAGGCAGAGAAGGAAGGCAGGAAGATGTCTTCAGAGGAATCATACCTGAGACCTTCCCAGTCCTGCTTGCTCCTCCTTTTGAGGTCGCCTCTGAGTAGATACAAATCCGTCTCCAGTTGGAAAATGCATCTTATTATGTGAAGCAAGTCCACATGACTTTAAACATTCTGAAAATAATTCATAAAAATTATATTATGTACTATCTGCCTGAGAGTCCCTTTTTCTTCCCAACTCCCCTTGCCTTGCTGTCATGCTGCACAGTGTGAGACATTTTTAAAGCATCTCCTTGAATAATAGTGGTGTTTCAGCCAATTAATTGCCCTCTGCAGGTGGCGTTGTAAATTTCCTTTGCCATTAGGGGAAAAGCACTGAAAAGTCCTCTGTTATATTATTAATCTTCTTGTTCATTTCTGCTCTGCTCGATCATGTCTTCAAGGTACCTATTTTAAGGCAGACTTCAACTCGTGGACCAAAAGGCCACATCAGACAGTGAAACCTTAATTAATAACATTTTAATTTTACATGATATCAGATGGTGCTTGAGGCTTTTCAGGGTGCTTTTCCCTGTATCTTTTCAAAACCACATAATGGCCCTGCGAGGTAGGTCATAAAAACCATCTCAAGGAATGAAATATTAAGCCTATCATTTCATGTTTATGAAGCAGATGAGTCAGACACGGAACCAAGACGTCTGCTGCCCATGGTATTGGCCATGTATGTGTTGTAGAAGATGGGGAAACAGACATGATTTCCTTATAGGAAAGAAGCCTAACTGCAGGAGGCCTGTTCCCTCTGTTCTTCCTGCTGCACAAAATGCCTCAACTGTGTACCTTTTTTTCTCCTTAAAAGTAAACGAAAGAACTTGGCAGATGTCTAGAAAGCACCACTGTAATAGTTTAGAGACCCAACAATTCAGTGGTAGGAGGGCTTTACTCACTTTCTAAAGAAATTCTGCTGAGGTATTTCTAGAATAAAGGAATCTTTTGGCTCCTCAAACACCTATGATTGAATATACATATATTTGAATATATATCATTAAAAATATATATTATATATGTGAAATGTGAAACCCAAACACATCCTTGCTTTTAGGGAAAAAAATACCTGGAGAAGTACAACAAAATTACTATATTTTACCACCATTGTAAAAAACCAGCCAAGAAGCTAGAGAGATAATACATAATACAGTGGGTAGGGCACTTGCCTTGCATGTGACTGACTGGGTTCAGTCCTTTACCCTAAATGATTCCCCTGAGCCTGCCAGGATGAGCCCTGATCACTGCCTAGTGTGACCCTCCTCTCCTCCTCCCAAAATAAAAGCCAGAAGATTTACTAAGTTGGACAAAGGTTTTAAAAACCCACATAGCTTTGTGTTATTTATACCAGCTTCTTGGTGGGAAACATGACTACTGACAGGTGTGCTGGCTGGGGATGAAAATGGAACTATAAAATGAAATGTGTCACACACACACACACACACACACACACACACACACACACACACACATACATCCCTCCTTTAAAAAAAAAGAGCCAAAAGGAAAGGAATAAGTCATGAGAAAAAGTATGAAAAACATGGAGATTTTATCAAATAAATGGGGACTAAGACACAGATAAGTGTTATTCGGAATGAGACCTTCCCCAGAACTGTTTCAGGGGCCCACCTGAGTTCTGTGGTTCTCCAGTGTGGCTGCATTGTGCTCTCTTGTGGGCTTCCGCAAAGAATGACCTGCAGTTGCCCCCAGGAAGGCATTTAACTGGTGCAGGGAAGCCTGGGAAGAGAGTTTCTTGAGGACCCCCCTCCCTGGCAATCCCCATGAGCAGCAAGGTTAGAGACATCCCGCTGCCCTGCAGACTTCAAGAACAGCGTTCCTCACCCTTTCTATACTAAGGCCCCTGTCCCACATACCCATCTATAAAAAAGGCAGCTACAACTAAAGAAGGAGAGAAGTGGTCTTCAACCTTTCTACTCCTGCAGACTGGCACTGGGTCCACAGGCCAGTGGTTGAAGACCACCACTATAGATTAAAAAAAAAAACTCAGGGTGCTCTCTGTGCCCAGTCCCCAGATCACCGCAAATTTGGAACCTGGAGAGTTGGTAAGGTAGGAGATGAAAGGCCAGTACGTAAACTACACGTGGAATATGTAAAACACATGTGCACTGGACTCCACATTGGTGGCCCTGAGACCAAGTGAAGACAGGAAGGAGTCTTCCATGTGTTGGAGAAGATGAGGGTCGGCAAATGTGCCCAAGGCATCCTTTCAGTCTGGGAAACACATCTTTTATTTTAAGGAAAAATGATAGCCTTGAGGAAATGTGGGCCAACAGGGTCACACCCTCAGAGCTTGGGGGGCCACAAGCTGCGAGAAATCAAGTCAGGGTCAGGTGTATGCCCAGCATGCACCTTAGTCCTGTACTATCTCCTGGGTCCCTGCTTCAAATGTTTTAGGCCCTGCCCAATGGGAGCAAGAGATGCAGGTAAAGACAGAAGGCAAGAGTTTTATCCTAGGGATCAACATCATCAAACTGAATTATCCAAGGAGGAGAAATTCAACTTCTAGTGATCTTAAAAAAATATTTTTCTTTTTTGGCCTTTTGGGTCACACCCAGCGACGCTCAGGGATTACTCTTGGCACTGCACTCAGGAATTACTATTGGAAATGCTTGGGGACCATATGGGATGCATGGGATCAAACCCAGGTCAGCCACGTGCAAGGCAAATGTACCTGCTATACTATTGCTCTGGCCCGATCTTTAAATATTATGGAAAAATCCAAGTTTTCATCACTCTCAAACCCCTCCCCCCATTATTTGCATACTCATAAAAATAAAAAACCAAGAAACAGCTGGCACCTAAGATCACGACTGTACTTATTTCACAGGGTCACAGAGAGCACCCTCGGTTCCACTTGTGTCAGTTCCAAGGGGCGTCCTGACACTTGCTTTGCTTTTTCAAAGGTAACTATGTACTTTGCTGCCATGGATTTTACCTTTTCCAGTTATGACTATTGTCACGTCTTCTGTGCTGCATTATTCATGGAGCATTAATCTCCTTAAAAATGGATCTTTGTGGGAAGACTTTACTTTTTAAAAACTGGTATGTATTTTATAAAGGGACTTTGGTCCCGGTGTGGCTGAAGGGCAAGTGGCTTCATCAAGGCAAAGCCGGGGCCAGCCCCTGCCCTCCTGCCACTTGGTGAAATCCATTTTCTGCTTCTCTTTGCTAATAGACTCTCTTCAAAAATGGAACTTAATCCTTGGGCAATGCAACATTAAAGCGTCCAAGGAAGAATTAAATATTTCAAGAGAGAACACGGTGAAAAATGGAACTGCTATTTTAGATTCTTTGAAAATTTAAGTACAAGAGTGGAAAAATAGTCAGTCGGACTTGATAAAATGGGTCTAAGTTCACTCTGAGGAAAAGATTCATGTGCAGGGAACCAATGCACACCTGATGTCTGAACACAGAGCCTTGGGCTGCCAGCCCACCAAGGCAGAACCTCATCCCCCTCTAGACAGAGGGAACCAATGTTTGAGTTTTTGGGGTCCACGGACTGTTTAAATCTCAAAGGTGTGACAAGAACATGTTATAGAAAAAATGAAAATTGACCCCTTTTTCCTTCCCCACACATTAACACAACAGGAAGCAAATTCTCCTTGGAGGAAGAGATAGTACAGTGGGTAGGGAGCTTGCTTTGTATGTGGTCAACCTGGGTTCCCCAGAGCCAGGATGATACCTGAGGACAGAGCCAGGAGTAAGGCCTGAGCACCTCTGGGTATGGCCCCAAAACTGAGAGAGAGAGAGAGAGAGAGAGAGAGAGAGAGAGAGAGAGAGAGAGAAGGAGAGAGAGAGAGAGTGAGAGAGAGAGAGAGCGAGCCAACGAGACAAAAAAACTTTTCTCCAGGGGTACGAGCAGGCTGTGGAGCTGGGTGCTTCAGATGGGGGTCCACAGCTCCCACAGCACTCAGTCCTAGGATGGATGAGGTTCCCTCAGCCTTGCTGTCCCTTAGTTGCCTGAGGGTAGGGGAGGGCAGTGTGAGAGGGGAGGGGACAGAGTTCAGTTCCATCCATGGTCAGTAATGCTCCCATCAATTTGGGCCATATGATGATATAATCGTGAGATAAAATTAACCTGAGCCCCCCCCCTTTTTTTTATCGCCAAAACCTGAGGTAAAAGTGCGCTCTTTCCTCTGTGGGTCAGAGAAAATCAGGTTATTGTAAAAATGCTGCAATCACATTTCTAGCCTGTGCTTTTACCGTCCAATTTATTGCTCAGCTCCTCACAGCTGCTTTCCAGAGACCACAGAAGGTGGTTACAACAGATTAGCTCAGTCCCAATAACAGGTCTAAGTATTTACATATTTATGGCTCGCCTCCAAGAGGCAGGAGATGGGAGTGTTGGGATTCCGATTGTTTTAATTTGCTGGGCCTTGTCTTCCTCTGCCTGGGTGCCCTGAGAGCCAGGCTCTCCATCTCCGGGGAACAAAAGAGACTGTGGCAAGAATGACTTGTCCCCAAGATACCTCTATCTCTGAAACACCCGAGTTTATATTGGCCTGGGCAGGTCTCAGCACTCCCAACCCTGCAGCTGGGGCAAGGGGAAATGTTTCTAATTCCTGAGGACAGGGTTCCCTGAGAGGGGTATAGGGGTATGGGACAAGTGAGGGAAGGGACACCCAGGAAGGAGGCTGCTTCAGGTTCTTGCCTTGAGCAGGTGCCTCAGACTCTATGGGTCGCAGTTTTTTTTCATCTGTGAAATGAGCTAATACACATCTCTCCATTGGTAAGAGGGAAAATGGAAGAAGGATGGCTCTGAGGGGCTAGGAGGTTTAAGATTCAAAGTCTTCCTCCTGGTAGAGAGCTTAGATGTTCTCTTCAAGCCACATGATAATACAGCTCATGACCCTGAAATGCCAGCCCTGTAGAAGGAAGCTTCAAAGTCGGACGGGAGACCCGTCTGCTTCCATCGACAATATCTCACCTCTCATCAGAACCCTGCTGCTCCCTTCCAGCCTGCCTCATTGGATGCCGTCTCCAGCAACCTTCCTCTCCTTCCCTGACCTCATGCTGCTGAGCACAAGAAAGCCACAAGGCCCACCCTGTGGATTGGCATGGTCTAACACTGCTGGCCCCAGGATGAGTGTGTGGTATGTGTCTGAGTATGA